CGTTTATCCTAAATCTACAAAGTGATAAAGATAAAATATCCTGGAGGTCGTTTAGAAGTAAAATTTTCTTCAAATAATTGAGCATAGAGTATAAAAATGTTTGGGTTAAAATACAGCAAAAAAGCACATTTTTTGGTATAAAATGAATATTTTGATGGATTATTATTGAAAAAATTTTAATGATGTAATGGTTAATATTCATATAAAATATATCATAAACTATGTTAATTTCACGTTGAATAGATAAAATAGCACGCAATATTCACTTCTTTTTTCAATTATATTATTCATTTTATTCGCTCTAAATTTAATTCTATTAATTTTATTTTTATCGAAAGTCGAACAAGAAATGAGTATATCTTTAATAGTTTATCAAATTTCAGTAATTTGTAATGCATAAAATGACTAATTTTTTAATGACAGTAAAAAGATATTTGGTTCAAATATGGATTTTTTATGCAAATTAAATTAATCAAATAATAATAATTAATAATTTTTGCTTATTTTCAAAATACAAAATTGAATGATTTGATGATAAGTGATATGTTGATGAGCTCAGTTAATATACCATTTTGAATTCCAGGAAATATCATATTTCCAAGAGATGATTTAATCAACGATAAAAAGTTTTTTGAAACTGTAAACAATATTGTATGAAAGAATTTTATTTAAATTGCTACTGAAAATGATATTTCCAGTAGCTGTTTAAATTTAAATTTAAATTTTGTGCATTAATTTTAAGCACAACCATAGCTATATATCATCAGAGTTCAAAGGTTAATTAATAAAAAGGAAAAAAAAGCTGAAAAATGAACAAAATAAAATGTAAAATGATGAAAAAAGAGAAAACATTTAATGGATTAATTTATGCAAAATTTACCTATCGCCGTTGTTTTTGCATCTTCCATCAGAAAAGTTTCAAAAAATGGATTCAAGTAGCAATTCAGGTCGGAATGCGCAATTTTGAATAATTTCAGTTCAATCGATGGTTTTAAAATTCGCAATATTTCAGTAGCAGATTAATCAGAATTTAATCAAATTTCCAAGCGAATTCTCACACTTTATGTTTTTTACTGATAACCTTTTATTTTTATCCGATAAAATCTAAAAAAGTTAAAAAATTAAAACACAATCACTGCTTAAAACTGCCAAAAGTCTTTCATTAGAATTAGGGAATGGAAATGGAAATGGAAAATAATTCAAAATATAAAAAATTTAATTAAAAAAACTAAAATTGAGCATGAAGTACGCTCACCATTATCAATGAAAATAATATGAAAATGAATAAAAAGTGCTTTGCAAACAAAAATTTTCAAAATT